AGCGTGCTGCATGGGCTGCACTGCATCACCCTAAAGGTTCAGAAAGCGTTTATAGACGGTTTGTAAGCGACTTCTCTTGATGCGCATTACGTAGCTTGCTGTTTAAATGAAATTTTCAAGGAATTTGCTACCCAACACAAGTGAGTACCTTAATATATGGTATCCTATGTTTGCAAAGAAGACGTTATATTCAATCTTTTACACCTTTATTATGTTAAAGTTTAAAGTTTATGGCTACGCAAGTGACGTGAAGAATGTCATTTTCTCTCCTTATCCATATATCGATAATGAATCATCCACCCCTCTGTCCGTGATCCATAATGCTTTTTATATTCTGGGCGGCATCATGATAAAATCGATACATATTTTCTGTAAAGATTAACACTGATGGTGATCCCAAATTATTTTGCCCGGGTTTCTAATCGAAGTGTTATTTTCTAGGGTAAGTTTGTCTGATGGACATTAGGAGGTTTCAGTCTCTAAAACGAATACTTCGTTAACAGACCTTTCCGTGATTCATCGCAAAGTATTTCAGCTATATAAAATACCATATACTTTTCATCCCACGATCACGCTATGTCTTAGTTTGTCTTTGTGCTTTTCGCGATGCCGCAGCTGATCAAGAATAAGTGCGAGAAGTATAGGCGCAAATGAGCTAATTAAATGGCATTGAAATCAGGACCAGCAAAGAAATTGCTAGCTAAACAGTGACACCAGGGTTAGCAAGTAAATTCACTCTAGCTATGCGAGCAGCAGATTCTCATAAACCCCCTCGTTTGAGAGCATTCTAATTTGCACTTTTTCGACACTCGATTAATCTTCATCCATCAGCTATCTTTCGAAGGAACTGCGTACATGTCGCTTGAACGCTGGATAGCATTCCCTCGGTCAGTACCTTGCGCTCATGACCATGCATACGATTAGTGGGTTTGTGCCTTGATAAACATGAAGACAGCTAGTTTCGCGCCGTAGTTCATTATTTTTTCATTGTCACGGAACTGCTCAACACTAGATTGTGGTTGAGGGTGGGACGGTGCTCCAGTGAATTAATAATTTGCACTTT